TGCTTCACTTTACCGAGGACATGACTCTAGATAGGAAGGAGTGGAGGTCTCGTATTAAGGTTGTAGGTTAGTAGGGCTAGCGTGTTGTCTTCCCTTGCAAGGGTATGGGTTGTTAGCATTTGGAGTAGACCTAGCCTTATGTTGTTTACTGCGTTTCACGCATCGCATTACTTTCTTGTTGTTACTGTCTCATTTGTTGATTATACGCTATCGTTTGTATTGGCTGTTATGTTTTATATATATCTCTCCTGTCACTTAGATTTGTTATTCTTGAGCTGAGGGTCTCCCGGAAACAGCCTCTCTACCTCCACGAGGTAGTGGCAAGGTCTGTGTACAATTTACCCTCCCCAGACCCCACCTAGTGGGATCTCACTGGGCATGTTGTTGTTGTTGTTGTTTTAAGGTAACTTTTATCTTGAGCCGAGGGTATTGGAAACCATCGTTCTATCTTTACACTCTATTTTTTTTTCCAGACCTTATTTTGTAAAACTATACTCAATATGTTGTTGTAACTTTCGTTAGTGAATGAAATGTACATATTCCACCAACATATAATTAGGGGTAATTTAGTTTATTTTATGCATATATTGTGTAATGTAGAAATCAATATTAGTATATGATTGTCATGTTTTTTTTTTTTTTTTTGATTAATAGTGCATAGATTATAATGTTATGATTAACAATAGAAGGATTGAATTGATTTTTTTTTTCGTTTTAAAAATATTTGTTTCGAAGATTATTAGTTTATATTTATACATGGTATAAAATCGTGCAATTTTTAATTTTTTTTTTCCACATTTATTAGGAAAATCAAAGCAACACCCATACAATATACTATATAAGAATACTTTTTTTCAATAACATGTGTTCACTCAACTGACTCTGATTGTGGACTTTAATAATATTGAATAATTTTTTATGTCACAAAAAAATAAATCCACAATATTGATATTAAATTTTATACAATGATCAACTCCCGTTACCAGCCAATCGAATGAGCTTATTAAACTTTCTTTTGATAAATTATTGGAAGAACATATTAATCATAAGTAAAATTTAAAAGATAAATATATTTTTTATTTATATTTATACATATATAAAACTTGTATGTAAATTTGTCAATCCTTTTTTAGGGACACAAAAAGAAAATATTATTTGTCCAAAATATTTCAATTAATTAAAAATATCACAAAAGAAAAGGAAAACCCGAAAATGGGAAACTATATAATTACCCCTTTCTTCCTCTAAAACCCTGTAATGCTCTCTGCTGTTCTGTTTTCCCTAAAACCCACAAGAAGGGTCCTTCTTCTCAAATGGCGATCGACAAGAACAACTTAGACGAAGAAGCGTTAAGTTTACGCTTTTACAAAATTGTTCTCAGTTGGGACTACCTTGGTCTCCTCAAAGAATCCGATGTAATTTCACTATCTTTTTTTGCAATTTCATGTTTTGTATTTCAATGTGGGTTTTAATATCTATGTATTTCAATTTGTTTAGCGGAAGAAGGGTAAAGGGGATGATGACAACGCTCTTGTTCTGAAAAAGGCCAAGAATTCGTATAAAGATGTTCAAGATTATCTTGCAACATTCGAACCTCTTTTATTTGAAGAAGTTAAAGCTCAAATAATACAAGGGAAAAAAGATGATGATGAAGAAGGTACTTCTTCTTTGTTCTTGTTCTTGGTTATCTAACCCCATATTGTTAATGTGTTTAGGATTTTACCAAAAAGAAAAAGAAAAACACATTTAAGTGATTCTTGCCCCAAGATTTTTCGTTTTTCCGTTCCCCTTTAATTTTTTCCCACCCCTTAGTTTTCTTTTTCCCCTTATTCAGTGAAGAACTATATTTCTTTTTGTTGTGTTTTCGAGTTGAGTTTGGGTTAGGATATCTACAATTAAGACGAAGTTGATGTGTATGTGGATTTTTATGATAAAAAAACATACTAAGAAACAACTACGCCGTAATCTCAAACCAAGTCAAGATTGATGAAGAAGGTACTTCTTCTTTGTTTTTGTTATCTAACGCCACATTGTTAATGTATTTAGGATTTTATCAAAACAAAAAGAAAAACACATTTACGTGGTTCTTGCCCCAAGATTTTTCGTTTTTTCCGTTCCCCTTTAATTTTTTCCCACCCTTAGTTTCTTTTTCCTTCCTTTTTCCCTTATACTGAAGAGTATATATCTTTTTTTTTGTGTTTTTGAGTTTAGTTTGGGTTAGGATATGAACAATTAAGACGAAGTTGATGGGTGTGGATTTTTATGAAAAGAACCATACTAAGAAAACAACAACGCCATAATCTCGAACCAATTCAAGAATGACAAGAACTATCTCTTGAAAAATTTGAAGATTTTGAACTAACTTCGGATTGAAGCACAGTAGTAGTTTTTCTTGTTGCGTTCATTGTTGGGCAACCTTATAGAGGTGTTAGTAGATGAAAGAAAGGATGACTCTGTCCACTTGTTGACATGGACTTATGCATGAGTTATTGGATTTTCATTACCACTATTATGGATTCAAGAACA